TCAGAGCTGGGAGGGGCCTTGGAACCCAGAATGTCAGAGCAGGGAGGGCCCTTAGCACACAGAATCTCAGAGCTGGGAGGGGTCTTAGAACATATAGTATCAGGGACAGGAGGGGTCTTAGAGCACATAATGTCAGAGCTGGAGAGGACCTTGGGTCACCAAACATCACAGCTAGAGAGGACCTAAGATAGAACATCAGAATATAGAAAGTTAGGGTTAGAAGAGCTTTAAAATCATCTAGTAATTCTAGGTCAGCCTCTTCACACCTAATTAATAGGGGAGGCTGGGCTAGAACCCAGTCTTTTGGCTCTGAGGCCAGGGCTCCTGCCACCATGCTGATGAACCTTCAGTCCAGGGTGTTGTAAGGACTCTGTATCCCCCGCAAGGGCTGAGAAGTAGGTTCAGGAATGGGTTATTTCAGGGCAGGAAGCAAACACTCTAGAAAACTCTGCCCTTTCCCCTCTTCATTTTCTTCCCGCTGCCCAGGGTCCCCGAGGTTACCTTGAGCTCATCAAAGCTGAGCGTGAAGTGCAGGATTTCAGCAAACTGCTTGGCAAGGGCCTGCTCTCTCTCTAGGTGCTGCGTCGGGGCATAAGGGGGGCTGGTGAGGGCTTCCAGGAGGCTCCTCAGGGCATTCTCTGGGCAAGGGGAGCATAGGGAGAAAGGGGAACGTGCCTGTGGCAGGCCCTGCCAGCCCCAGGGCCTCTTTGCTCCCTCCGCCCAAAGTCCCCAGCATCGTGGAATCCTCCAACAGGGAGGGTTCCTGGAGGTCCTGAGGCCAGCCAGCCCCTCTGAGCAGGAAGCCATTGGGACCATCCACCTTAACTAGGATGGGCAGAACGCTGGGCCGAGGACCGCAGACTTTCACTCTGAGCACTGTGGTTCCTTTTAAATACAATAGATAGCATTTATATAGTGTTTAAGGTTTGCAAAACACTTTACATGTTATCTCATTGAATCCTCACAACAACTCTGGAAAAAAAAATAGATGCTATTATTAGCCCTGTTTTACAGATGAGGAAACTGAGACTGAAAGAGATGAAATGACTTAGCCAGAGTCACCCAGCTAGCAAGTGTCGGAGGCCAGATTTGGATTCAGGTCTTCCTGACTCCAGGCCTGGAGCTCTATCCACTGAGCCACCTAGTTGCCCATGATATACATAGAAAATGATAATATGCAACATTACGTGAACTTAAAAAAAAAAAGCAGGGGTAGCAATCATGATCTCAGACAAAGCAAAAGCAAAAATAGGCATAATTAAGAGGGATAATCAGGGAAACTATATTTTCCTAAAAGGTACCATAGACAATGAAATAATATAAAAAATTTATAGCAAATTTCTCTGATAAAGACCTCATTTCTTAAATATATACTGAGTATAGAATTGAGTCAAATTTATAAAAATAAGATCCATTCCCCAATTGATACATGGTCAAAGGATATGAAGAGGAAGTTTTCAGAAGAAATCAAAGCTATCTATAGTCATACGAAAACATATGATATTTATAGTAGTTCTTTTTGTGGTGGCAAAGAATTAGAAATGGAGGAGATCCCTATCAATTGGGGAATGGTTGAACAAGATGCGGTATATGATTGTGATGGAATACTATAAGAAATACTGAGCAAGATGGTTTCAGAAAAGCATGGCAAGGCTTATATGAACTGATGCAACATGAATTGAGAAGAACCAGGAGATCATTGTATATAGTTAACAACAATGTTATAAGGCTGATCAACTGTGAAAGACTTCGCTACTCTGATCAATACAGTGATCTGAGACAATTCCAAAAGATTCATGATGAAAAATGAGAGAACTGCTGAACTGAGTGAAAATTGAAGTATAACTTTTTCAGCTTATTTTTATTGCTTTTTTTTTGAGGGGCAATATGGCTAACATGGAAATGTTTTGCATGGTTTCAGCTGTATAATTGATATCATATAGCTTGCCTTCTTAGTGGGAGTGGGAGGGTGGGAGACAATTTGGAACTCAAAATTTAAAAATAATGTTTTTTATAATTTTTTTAAAAAGAAAAGAAAAAAATATGTGATAAGTGCATCAGAGAAGTGCAAATGGAGTGTTTGTGAGGTTGGAGAGGGTATATTGTTACCAAAGGTGAAACAGAAAAAGCTTCTTGGTCCTGAAGAAACAAAGAGAAAATGAAGTCAGAAAAGTTGAGGTAAGTGTGGAAGCTGATGGAGCCCAGGCAGGCATGGGAGCATGAAGGATCAATCAAAGCAAGGTGGGCAAGGGCAAAGAGTAATACAGGGAGTGAGACAGGTAGAAGAAAAGGAGGCTGTGGTCAGAGTGGAATTTCCAGGTCCTCCGTCTTGGAGGTGGCCCAATTCTGATAGCGGGCAGACATATTGATGAAATATAACTGAAATGGGGCAGAGAAGGAAGATAAAAAGATTGGGGAATTAGGATTTCAAGTTGTTCCGGGGATTGTCCAAACAAATCTTGAAGTCCCAAGTTAGGATGGCAGGGGAGAGGGCGGAGAGTCATTGAGAAAGTTGAACTGGGATTTGGTAAATAATAGCAACCAGAATGAAGTGCTAGAATATGGCAGCATGGGCTTTGAAGGGAGAAAGATGGAGGGATGGAAGTGGACAAATGGCCTGTCCATTTGGCTGTAGGAAGCAAGAGAGTGTGCGTCTCCTCCTGGCTTGAGTGGGATGGGGGGAGTAATGGTAGGAGGAGTGGTCTCTTATGGGTGGAATGTGAGAGTCTTAGAGAAAAAACAGGTTTCCATCAAAGGAAAACCAGACTGAACAGCACATTGGTGCCTAAAACACACCTCAGGCTTTTCTGCCCATATACCTTCGCTCATCCTTTTCTTCAAACAGAGGTAACCAGGTGGTGCAGTGGGTAGAGCCCTGGACCTGGAGTCAAGAAGAACTGAGTTCAATCCTGCCTTAGACACTCACTAGCTGTGTAATCCTGGTCAAGTCATTTAACCTCTGTTTGCCTCAATTTCTTCAACTATAAAATGGGGAATAGTAACAGCATCTACCACTTAGGGTTATAGTGAGAATCAAATGAGATAATATTTCTAAAGCACTTTGCAAACCTTAAAGTACCATATAAATGCTAATTATGATTAAACCAGGAATGACCTTTCCCTACACCCCATCTATGCTGATAAGAATTCTCTATCCACTGACGCCCATATCAACTGCCACATTCTCCAGAAACCTTCAGGAATTCTCCAGGAACGTTCAGTCTCCTGGTGTGATTGTGTCCTTCCTGGACCCCCAGCCCTGGTTTTGTTTCCCACCTCCTCCCCAACTCACAGCACTGCACACAGTAGGAGCTCACGTACAGGTAGGTGCCAAACGTAATTCAGCACATCTATGTGTGAAGGATGGAAATGAGCGCCATGAGTTTGGCAGGGCCTGGAAGCCAGGACGGGGGTGGCTTGGACAGTGGTACAGGGTCTTGAGTCTGACAGCCTCCTGGGCTGCTTGGATCCTTACCCAACCGAAGGGAGAATTCATAGAAGCGTTTGAGCTTGACCACAAGTGGGCACACTGCATTCCATGCCTTCTCCTGAAGTGGAAGGTCAGTTGGGTTTTGGATGGCCTGCGGATAGAAAGTGAGGAGCTCCAGACCCGTCCAAATCCAGGATTCTGCCTCCCCAATCACTACCCTTCCACTCTGTGAGGAAGCTGACGTGCCTCTTCATCAGCCACCAGGCACATCCTCAAAGATAAAGCCATTTTCCTCTGCCAGACTTTGCCTTGGGCCTCTGCAGACAGGAGACCTCAGACCCAGGGCAGGCTGGAGGGAGCCCTAAGATCCATACCTCCCGAATCTCCTGGCCAGCTCCGGTATAGGACTGCAGTTCTGCCAAGATGCCCTGGGCTTCCTCCAGGACGGCGCTGACCTGGTTCCACACAGCTGTCTCCGCTTCTGTGGGCTGCGCATCTGTGAGGACCACCCAGAAAGAGTGGCTTCAGTTTCTGGCCCTGTGGGTCCAGGAAGCCAGGCTGGTCAGTCACTAGTGTCAGGTTTTTTTTTGTTTGTTTGTTTTTAGGCAATTGGGGTTAAGTGACTTGCCCAGGGTCACACAGCTATCAGGTTTTTTTTTCAAGAGTTAGTGGTGGACAGCAGCAAGGTCTCCTGGACTCCCTTTCTTCTCTCACCCCCAAGTCTGGACTTTAGATGGTTGCCAAGGTTGGGAAGAGCAGCTGTGGTAGCTTGGTGGTTCACACCCTGTCCAGAGCTGAGCCCACTCTCATCCTCTGAGAATCTGGGCAGTGCCTTTCCCAAGGCTTCCTGCCTGAAAGTAAGTGAGCTATTTCTACAAAGGTCCCCTCCTCTGGCCAGGCACTCTCTCCATCCCTTCCCTTCCCTGTCATTGCTTGGAGCGTCTCCACAACCTGCGGTCTGAAAATGGGAAAGGAAACCTTGAAAAATAAATGCAACGGAACAGATTCAAGCGGAAGGAACTCAGGGAGCTGGGGAACATACCTCCCCCCCTCCCGCCTCCCCCTCCGGTGGGAGCCGGAACCCTGTCTCTCTCCCTCCAGAGCACCACAAACCCCTTGCTTTCAACCCCCCTCACCCTACCTCCTCAGCCCCAATTCCTGCATTGCCCCTAAACCTCACCTCCTGCCCAGCGCTGGCTCTGCTTCTCTGGAATGGGACTCCAGGCAAGAGGAAATGGCTCCTCCGTGGAGAATTAAGTGGAGGAGTAAGGAATGAAGGGGTTCAGGACTTCTCCACAGGAACTCAGCGTTCCGTCCTGAAGGATAGCATCCTCCTTGGCCACTTTTCCTCAGTAATAGTGCCAGGCAGCAGAAAGTATGCTGCCCTGGAGGTCTCAAGGCCTGGGTTCTAGGCCCAGTTCTGATAAGGCTCCTACTGGCTAGAGATTAGCCCGGGGCCAGAGCCTTGGCTAGAGTCAGGAAGGGGAAAGAGCCCCTGCTTGGGCATTGGGGAGTCCTTGCCACATTCCACAGGACCACAGTGACCCAGTCATTTCCCCTTTCTGGGCCTCAGTTTCTTTATCTGTAAAATGATATAATAGTCCCTCCCCACTCACTAGGTTGTTGGGAGACTTTTAAAACCATCACCATGAAATAGGGGGTTTGAAATTCGGAAATGGTAAAGAGGAATAACCATCCTAAATATCCAGCTGATAGCATGGTCCTGCGGCCCTGAGAAGCCTATTGGGAAAGTGGCATTGAAGCGGATGGATCTGGGGCATTGATGACACTCAGGAGGCCTGAGGCGGCAAAGTCTGTCCGTCCATCCATCTGCCCGTTCATCTGTCTGGCGGCTGATGCGCTGCGGTCTCTTCCTATCCCCAGGATAGCAGTGAGCATTGGCAGATGGGAACCATGAAAAGCCAGAGCTGACAGAGAAGGGGGGGACAGCCCTCCTGCCCTCCTTCCCTCCTCCCCTTCTCCCCCTGGACCCCTACCCCTACCCTTACCAAGATCGGTGGAAATGGGATGGCTCTGCTCTGAGGCCTTGAGATGGAAGCTAGAGGGAGGCCTGAGTCCTGACCTTGGCATTGACTCGCCCCTTACTGGATCTCAGTTTCTGACCCTGTAAAACGGGGACAAACCCCACTGCATTTTCTGTCTCACAGGGCTATTGTGAGCAAGGTGCTTCTGTAAATCTTTCAAAGGGCTAAAGAAATGGGACTTGTTATTTTTGTTAATGACCTGCTTCTTTTCTAGCTCCTGAGAAAGAAATCTGTGTGAATTTAAGGAAGTTCTTTCCCTTCTGTCTTAGTTTTCTCATCTGTAAAATGGGGCTAATAACACTTGTCTTATCTACCTTATGTTGCTGTTAAGGGGGAAAGAGCTTTGTAAATCTTAAAAGGGCCATAGAAATGTATGCTGTGATTGTTTTTATTCAGAGGCTGGGGGACATGTCACTCTAGACAGTAATGTGCCTGAGTCAGAGGATAGCCCTGTGGCCTTAGTGGGAGCAGAAAGCCAACCCAGGATCCTTTCTCCGTGGCACCCCACCCACACCCCGACCCTTGGGCCTGGGGTGATTTCTGGGTGGGGCCCTAGGAGGCTGGAGGGGCCAGATCTGAAGGCTGGACTTGGATGCTGTGACCTCTTCCCACAGAGGCTAAGCTGATGGGGAAAGCTGTGCAAGGGAGGCACTTGGGGTGGGGGAAGAGAAGGAGTGTTAGGCAGGAGTCGGGGTGCCTGGGGTCTAGCCCCAGCTCTGCCACTGACTCTGGGGAGGTCCCTGGGCAGGTGGATCCCTGCCTCTCTCTGGTTCTCGATCCGCTCTGTATATGAGGGGTATGGATTAGCGGGACCTTGGTTAAGGCGCCTTCCCCCTCTGCCATTCTGGGAAGACTTGGTTTCCATTCTCGCGCTGCTCTTCAATCAGAGTGACGTCTCGGCAAATTCCTTGCCCTCTGGTCTTCTGCTTCCTGCTCTGGCCAACACTGGGGTCAGACTACATGGCCTTTTCCAGCACTAGGATGCTGTCCAACCCTGATGCACTCAGTCCCCGAGAGAGTTTCCCTTCATTCAGCAAAACCAGAGCTGTGGCTGGTAGCAAAGCACAGCCTTTTAACAAACCTGGGACCTTGTGAGAGGGCTGAACAATGCAGGAATTCTTAACCTTTTTTGTGTGTCTGCTGGACCCAATCTCAGAATCATTTTTTTAAATGCATAAAATAACATGCTTAGGATGGCTTTGAGATCCTTTCAAATGTCAGATCCACCCTTCAAGGATGAAGATTTGCCGCCGCCGGGCATACGTATCTCAAAGGAGGTCATGGGGAGAGTCTTGGGCAAAGAAGATTCAGGTTCTAGTCCTGGCCCTGAGACTCTCTGGCCAACAACCTTGGGTAAATCCTTTCCCCTCCCTGGGCCTCAGTTTCCTTCTCTGTAAAACAAGGGATTGGGTCTAGGTGATGCCTCGCGTCTCCTCTTTCTGTCTCTAAATCGATGACGCTATGAACTACCAAGTTGAACACTCCAGGCCTTCCTGGAACACTGACGCAGTGTTTGGAACCTCTCTGTGGGGCTCAGTGATGATGTCAGCCGCTTTCTTTGTTTCCAGTTCCCTGTTTCTTCCTCTGCGTCCCCTTTGCTTCCCCTTCTTTCTCTCCCGCCCACTTTAGGCCCCTTCCTGACTTTTCCCTCCATGAGACTGTGGATCTCAGGGGCTCTGAGGAGCCTCTGATTTGGGGAGGAGAGAGAATAGGAGAGAGGAGAAAGAAGGGCCTTCTGTCATCGCTACAAGCCTGGGAGTGGGTGATGGACACGGTGAGAGGATGGACTGTGTTCCTTGGGCTCTTTCGTCATCAAACACCCGGAGTCCCCCATCTCTTGCCACGCCAGGTTATAAAGACCCTGATGGGCTGAGGTTCTGAGGTGTTGAGATCCAAGCCCCTATCCCCCCCAAACCCCTCAGCAACCTTGTTCAAAGTAAGACAGGCAGCATTTTAGCTGCGATAGAGAAAAGAGATTGCAGGCGGCTAGGTGGCACCATAGCCCACAGAGTGCTAGGCCTAGAGTCAGGATGACCTGAGTTCAAATCCAGCCTCAGGCACTTACTAACTGTGTGACCCTGGGCAAGTCACTTAACCTCTGCTTGCCTTAATCCACTGGAGAAGGAAAAGGCAAACCTCTTCAGCATCCTTGCCAAGAAAGCTCCACGGACAGTCAAGACCAGGGGGTAAGGAAGAATCAGACACTACTTAACAATTGAACAACAAAAACAGGTAAAAAAAGAAACTTACCTAAGATATTAGGACAAACTTCCTGACAATCAGGGCAGAATGGTACAGTGGAAAGGCCACTGTATTTGGAGTCAAAAGGGCCTGGGTTTGCATCCTAGCCCCACAACTTACTAGTTATAGGATGTTTCCCCCTATGTGAAATGGGAGAGGATTGAGGCTAGATGGCCTCAGTTGCAGATGGAGGGTCCCAGGACCTGTCGGGGCTGTCTCCAAGACTTCCTCGGGAGGTCATGAGTTAATAATAATTGTAGCTGGCATTTTCAGAGTGCTTTGAAGGTTGTAGGCTGCCTTAACCTCCCAACAACTCTACAAAGTCCTCAGAAATAGGGACCAGCCTGGCCCAAGCTGATTCTAGCAAAGGCAGGCACCAGCAGGGCCTCAGGCCCTGCCCTTCGGCTGGAATTTCTCCCTTGGCCAGGAGAGCATCTCCTCCCTCCTGCCTCTGAGGACCTCTCAAACTTACTTTCAAAATCCAGGAAAAAATGGGGACAGTTTTCGAAATCTTTGCCCAGTACCTTGATGAGGTTGCCCATGGCCAGCACACCTGAGGGACAGAAACAGAACAGAGTGGGACAGAGGGCCTGGCAGATGTGCCCTGTTCTTCCTCCCTTGCCCCACCCAAGGACACCCCACTCACGCTCCCCAGGGCCCAGCCACACTCCCTCTATCATAGGAGGACCAGGGACACAACTCTAAGGAGAGATAGTATGATAAGACGGACAGAGCCTCAGCCAGGAGACAAGTTTTCGTTAAGTCCTAGGGCCTTCCCTGACTTCCTGTGTGACCTTAGGGATTACTTAGCCCCTCTCAGCCTCGGTCTCCTCATGTATAAAATGAGGAGCGTTGTAGAGGGTCTCTCTAAGGTCTGTCTGTCTCTGATATTTGAATCTCTGCTTTGCTACAAACTAGCCGACGACTTGAGTCAAGTCACTTGAATTGCCTCGGTCCTCAGCGTTTCCATTATAAAATGGAAGGGTTGGCCCGGAACACCCATAAAGTCCCTTCCTTCCAGTGATAAATCCTCTAAGTCTCTGACTTACGCGTTTTGGCTTCCTGTCCCCGCCTGCCCAGGCACTTTGGGGGCCCCCCCCAGGACTTCTTCTGTGTCCCCCAAGAACCAACCTGCCCTGACTTGGGCTGGGGGCTGTGCTGGGGAGAGGAGGGGCTGGCTCTCTCCACCACTGGTGTCTGCCCCACTGACCAAGCCCGGCTCGGAAGGGAAGCTGAGCGCCCCAGGGAGTCACTGGGCATTTCCTGTGTGGCTGTCTCTCCCTCCCCACCCCCCCTGCTCCCGGTGCCTCCCTCCCCACTTCCTCCTGGCCGAATTGAGATGGTGCCTCCGACTCTGACTGAGGCCTTCTGACCAGCCCCTTCTCCTTCAGACCCCTTGGCTGTTCTAGCTTCTGCTGGCTCTCAAACGCCTGGGGCCAAGGAGATGCTGGGAGAAAGCTTCCCTCCTCCCCACCCTTCTGGGCCTCAGGAGAATGAAGGCAGTGGGCCCTCGGTGTTTCCTTGGAGCTCTGAATCTCTGGGAAATAGCCACCAATCCCAGGCCTGGAAGGGCCAGGGCAAGGGTGTTGAAAGAGGTGGATTCTGCTCCTTCTCCCGGGCCCTCTGAGTCACGTAAGTGCCAGGAAGCCTATTTGTGCATTTTCGTGACCTGGGGAGAGCAGTGTGGCTCAAGACAAAGAGCCCCGAACCAGAAAGCAGCAGACCTGGGTTTTAGGGCCAGCTCTGCCATTGGCACATTCATCATTCGACCTTGAGCAAGTCTTTTCCCATCTGTAAAATGAGGCAGCTGAACTCCGTGGCCACTTAGGTCCCTTTCAGCTCTGGCATTCTGTGATCCTAATCTCAATGTGTACCTTAAATTAAATTCTACATTTATTAAACATCTACTGTGTGCAAAGCACCGTTCTAGGTACAAAGGACATAAAGACAAACTCTTGACTGTGTCATTTCCCTGATGAGGTGACTTTGGTGGCTCCCTATGGCTTCTAGGAATGCGTACAAGCGCCTTAGTCTGGTATGTAAAACCATTCGCAATTTGGCGCCAAACTGTCTTTCTAGACTTATTTTCCATTACTCTTCCTCACTCATGCTCCATCATGGCGGCCAACCCGGCCTATCTGCTGTTTCCAAAATACAACATTCCATTTCTCACGCCTTGGTGCAGGCTGATTCTCATACTTGGAGCACTCTGGCTTCTCACTTCCATCTTGCTGAACCCCCAGTTCCATTCAAAACCAAGCCCCAGCTCAGGCCACCAGGTCTTTTCTTGATCCCATTCTACCCCAACCCCCACCCCAAATTTCTTTCTTTCTTTCTTTCTTTCTTTCTTTTTTTTTTTTAAGGCAATTGGGGTTAAGTGACTTGCCCAGGGTCACACAGCTAGTAAGTGTCAAGTGTCTGGTCTGAGGCCGGATTTGAACTCAGGTCCTCCTGACTTCAGGGCCGGTGCTCCATCCACTGCGCCACCTAGTGGCCCCTCCCCAAATTTCTTTATAGGTTCTTTGTATATATTTTGGGCAAGTCACTTAACTCTGTTTACCTCAGTTTCCTCATCTGTAAAATGAACTGGAGAAGGAAATGGTAAACCACCCAAATGGGGTCATGAAGAATCAGACGCGACTGAACAACAACAACAATAAATATCTGTTGATTTGAATTAAACTGAAAAAAATTTTAAAAGCCACCCCTGCCCTCAAGAAGCTTCTACTCCACCTCATTCTTGATTTTCCCAGCATCACAGAGGTAGCACAGTTTAGTGGTAGGAGCCTTGGGCTAGGAGTCTTATATAGCAGTCCTGGTTCTGCTTTCTCAGTTTCCTCTTATGTCAAGGGGGATAATTATAATCTTTGCACTCTCTATCTCATGAGGTTGTTGTGGGAAAAAGAGTTTTATCAATGGTAAATCATGACCATCGAGAGGTGGCGAATCACTACAAATGAGTATTGTTTAGTATTCGCGACAATCACTATCTCCCATAATAACACCTAGGTTACTGTGCCTCCCTCTCAGGTGTGAGACAATGGATAGGGAAGTTGTAAGGAGTTCTGTGTGTGTGTGTGTGTGTGTGTGTGTGTGTGTGTGTGTGTGTGCCTGCCCGCGGTATCATCAGCAGCTGTTGGTAATATGAAATGACTGGAAGAGATGGGAACAGACATACAGCCACCTCTTAATTGTCCACATCTGCATGAGCCCGGTTAGATATGATAGGTGAAATATGTTGAATCCTGGTCTGGCTTCCTTCTGTCTCCACTCAGCTTGGTGGGCTGCCTTTCCAGGAAACAACAGTCTTCTGGATTACTGGGGTCGCTGTGGATTGTGGAATTGGGGGCAAGCAGAGCTGAATGCTTCCCACAGACCTTTCTTATCTCCTCCCTGGAGGGTGGGTAGACCCCATGTGGGGTTGCGACCCACAGTTTATGAAGTTCTGAAGGGGTTGAGAGTGGAAAAAGTTTATGAAGCCCTAACAAACAAAACAAACAAACGAACATTTATTTGATGAATACCATGTGCCACGCACTGTGGTAAGGGCTTTTCAAATATTATCTCATTTGATCTTCACAACAACTCTGGGAGGTAGGTGCCATTATTATCTCCTTTTTACAGTTGAAGAAACTGAGGCAAACAGAGGTTAAATAACAGTAAATTTTTGAGTACAGATTTTAATTCAGATTCTTTTCTCCTGGGTCTACCCTTACCTTTCTTGCTCTCCCTGGAGATTTAACCAGCCAGACATGATTATGACAGTTAGCTTGCTTTTTAGCGTAGGGGGAACATAAAAGCCCTCAGGCCCACCATGATCCCCTTCTCTATTCTATGAATTTTCTATCAGACAAAAAGTTATTAATACAATCACAGTAACTCTGAGCCCCTAGTTAGGAAAATTCCTAACATTCAGACAAAGGTTTGGTTCTCTGCCCTAATTTAAATTTTTGTTTAAATTTTGGGGTACTCTTGCTGTTTGATTTTGAATCCTAGATTTGCCACTCACTCACTGTGTGACTGTGGGCTGGGACCTTCCACTCTGGGCTTCAGAAATCTCCCCTCTACAGAATGAAGGGATCGGACTCCTGTGTGCTCCGATGTTAGGTGATGCCAATCGCAAATCTTGGTTTTTGGGGCAGCTAGGGGGCACAGTGGATAGAGCACTGGCCCTGGAGTCAGGAGGACCCTAGTTCAAATCCAGCCTCAGACACATAATGTGCACTAAGCTGTGTGACCCTGGGCAAGTCACTTAACCCCATTGCCTGACAAAACAAAAACAAGGCAAAACAAAACAACAACAACAACAAAAACCCAAATTAACCAAATATTGATTTTTCTCTCTCAAAGCCTGGAGACAATTTGAGAACTAGCTCTGCTATTTACTGTTTGTGTGACCTTTGGCAAGTCACACTTTCTCAGTGGGACTCAATCTCCTCAGTTATAAAATGGAGAGAATAATCCCTCCCTGGCCTCCTTCACAGGGCTGTTGTGAAAACTAAGCTAGCTGAAGGACCTAGAACAAGGGTCTTTCACCAGGGGTTTGTGAACTTTAAAAAAAAAGTATTTGGGGGCAGCTAGGTGGTGCAGTGGGTAGAGCTCTGGCCTTGGAGTCAGGAGGACCTGAGTTCAAATCCAGTCTCAGACATATGACACTTACTAGCTGTGTGACCCTGGGCAAGTCACTTAACCCTGACTGCCTCACCAAAAAGCAATAAAAAAAAAAAAGTATTTAGATCATCGTATTTCCATAGATTTGGCTTCCTTTGTAGTGCTATTTATTTTTTTCATACATTTAAAAACACTATTCTGAGAAGGGATTCATAGGTTTCACTAGATTGCCAAAGGGGTCCATGACACAAAAAAAGGTCGAGAACCCCAAGTTAGAACAAGGAGAGGCTTACAGGTCACTCAGTTCTCATTTTACAGATGGAGACACCAAAGACAAAGGAGGGGAAGTGCCTTGCTAACTATACCTTGGCTAATAAGTGGCAAAGGAAGGATTCAAACTCAGGTCTTCTCACTCCAGGTCCAGGGTTCTTCCCAATGCACCACACTACCTCTCATAAATGTGAGCTTTTAGTATGACTGTTTTGGAGGAGGCTAATTCTGTCCCTTCCTCCATCTTGGCAGTTGAGGGAAGGGAACGAATTAGTCTTTATTCATCCCCCACCTTGGCCAGTCCCTTCTTATACCTGGTCCCTCTTAGACAATGCTTTTTTTTTGGAGACAGTCAGGATTAAGTGACTTGCCCAGGGTCACACAGCTAGTAAGTGTCTGAGGCTGGATTTGAACTCAGGTCCTCCTGAATCCACGGCTGGTGCTTTACCCACTGTGACACCTCGCTGCCCCAAGATCATAGCTGATCATTCCTAATCAATATTCCCTCCTTGTCGATTCCCAGTCTCCCTCCCTTTCTGGCTGGTTCCCCTACCTGACTGTTCTCTGTCCTTCCTACCCAGTCTCAGCTCTTGACTCGATGCTCCTTCCTGTTTCTGGTTAATTCTTCCTCCTGGCCAGTCACCTCTTCTGACCCATCCCTCCTGGCTAGTATCT